CGACGTAACCGACGGCAGAAGATTTACGCATCGACTGACGTCGAAAATGTCGCTTTCGTCGGCGACGGCAACGTGTCGGTTACGTCGATTACGTCGACAACTTCAACGTCGCCAGTTACGTCAGTCACGTCGGATCGATACGTATCCAGTTCTCGGAAGGACAGGGCACATCGTTGTTGGGGAATCCCCAACAGGGGGTCGTATTTGGGCTGAGAAAAATTTATTTTGATAGTTGATTTTTCTCGCTTCACGGACGTTGTAAAGGGAGGGGGGGGTCGTATTATTGTCTCGCGGCTTTCCCTGTTTCACATGTGCTATTTACACCCCCCCCCCGGCTCGATTCGATGAGGAGGGAGAGGGGGTAGGAGGAGGGGGGTCGTATGGACTCGACTAAAATCCCCAACCAAGGATGTGCCCTGCGGAAGGATGTCGCCGGTTACGTCGACGACGTCGACGTCGTCGTTAGGTATGAACGCAGCCTAAGCGTCCTTCCTTGTATAAATGATCTGGTTCTCAGTCACTAGTCTTTTTATTTTCGCCGCTTCACAGAAATTACCGAAGACGCTGTGGGCGCGATAGGTGTCAGCTCTGATCTGACACCTCCCTAGATGCGCCGCCCACCAAGGCTCCAAGGCTACTTTCTGTTACGAGCTCAGTTTTCACACAGTGTTTTCGTTTTATTTCCCTCACTATTCGATGGTATCAGCATTGGACGATGCGAAGAAAGATTAGTGGTCTAGAAGCAGCAGGATAGGATATCGCTTTGCTGACATAAAACGAGCAGACCGGAAACTCGTCCAGAGAGGCCGCTAGGTTCTTACTCAGGGTGTTCTCATGATTTTTTGCTTTTTTTTTCTCTGAAGGGCTATCTAGCGTCGATAGGTTTATAATTGAACGCCACTGTCCACAATATACAATCACGGATTTTGTCTTCAATACTGAAAGGTGCGAAGAAACTTCTCACGAATGAGGATTCTTGCTTAAAGACACATGGTACGCTCAAACACATTGAGGGTGTATGAGACTATCAGCCCCCAGCTGTCGATGTGTCGTGGTCCCCCGCCCAAAACTGCACGGGGTCAGAGTACGGGACCGTGGGAAAGTCGTAATTCCTTGCTACGCCGCCCGTTTTTGCAAACTCACGTTTTTACTAACACCGTGCGGTCGCGTGCAGCTCTCTTGGCTTTTTGCCAAGTCCTGTAATTGCGCTTTGGAATACAAGTACAACGCAATTTCTTTATGCGGATAGGTTCTGCAAAATAAGAACTGAAGATGATGAGGGCTAGAACTCAAGAGCAACTGTGCTGCTTCTGCAACAGCCCTCGCAGGCCGCGCATTCCCACAAAACATCAAAATAAAAACGGCCTAAGCGTCCCACTCGTTAGTTTGAAGTATTTCTATAGCATTAGAGCCGGATTCGAGCCGGATCGCAGAAATGCACACGCGATTTTAATTAATTTGCGTTTCCTTAGTTTTTTCAATTTTGTTTTATTTACATCTACATTCGTGTTGTTCCTTTGTCATCTTCATCACCTTCTATTCGGACTTTGAAGCATGAGCAATACCTCAAATGTTAGGAAATTGCGTTTTGCTTGTATTGTCATGTTTTATTGTCATGTTGTCCGTTTTTATTGTCATGTTCTGTGGGAATGCGCGGCCTCTGAGGGATATTGCAGAAGCACCACAGTTGCTCTTGAGTTCTAGCCCTCGTCATCATCTTCGGTTCTTATTTTGCAGCACCTAAAATGTTATCCGCATAAAGAAATTGCGTTGTACTTGTATTCCAAAGCGCAATTACAGGACTTGGCAAAAAGCCAAGAGAGCTGCACGCGACCGCGCCGCGCGGATGGTGTTAGCATAAACGTGAGGGCGGTGTAGCAAGGAATTACGACTTTCCCACGGCCCCGTACTCTGACCCCGTGCAGTTTTGGGCGGGGGACCACGACACATCGACAGCTGGGGGGCTGATAGTCTCATACACCCTCAATGTGTTTGAGCGTACCATGTGTCTTTAATGTAAGCTTTCTATGTGCCTTCCTGTTACCAAGGGTGAGCTTTGGGGAGTGGAAGGAAAGTGGAGCGCCAGAGGAGTGCAGTAGCGGTATCATCTTGCAGGACAGGCATCTCCGCTAAACTACGTTTGCATCATGCTTCTTCATCAGAATTACACTAGACCTTGTCATGCATTTCTTTGGATCTGTAATTGATGGACTATAATTGTGCAATGTTCCTTCGCACTTTGTTGTGACCTTGTGTGTGGTCTATTTCTTAAATCGTCATCACATTGCATCGTGGAACGCTCGCAAACTGCATTTTCGTTACTCTGAGGACTTTCGGCGTTTGATTAATTTTTCAAAAATTTCATTTAGCGATCACAACGGCGAATACATCAGCAGATGTCAACGGCATCTTGTTAGAGAGCATCGATAATCTATACAGAAGAGGTTCGTTTGTGTTAATTTGAATTCACTTCTCGCTTGAGGTCATCTCAACCATTTATTCCTAAGTCTTACGTTTTACGAAAATTTTTGTAGTATCTACTAACATTATCGGTGCTAACGCAGTTCGGTGGGAACACGCGGGTGCGTGCCTGTGTCTCTTCCTCTACCCTTAGTTCAGCCTTTATGACTGCATTCATCACTTGCGGCAGCGTAATTAGCGACCACTTGCGTTACGAGCGAACGCCAGTGTCCATCAGCGACAAGAAAAGTATAGACATCGATCTAGCGAACTCCACCGTCCATCGGCGTCTAGCAGCGTCCACCGGCGACTAGGAAAGCATGGATATCAATTTAGCGAACGCCAGCATCATCAGCGTCCGCGAGTGGAGAGTATAGGAACTGGGAGGTTAGCAGATTGCTGATAGAGTATGGGGAAATAGGAGGGAGCAGACAGCTTTTACAATACAATACAATTTATTCCGCTACTCATCTGATATATACAGAGAAACGGGCCATGCTCTGAAACCATTCGGGTGTAGTCGCGATGTTCTTCCAGTCCGTTCCAGCAAACATCTTGAGATCGTCTTCCCATCGCATTCGTGGCCTTCCGACTGCTCTATTTCCGGAGGGCTTCCAATTCAACAATCGAACTTCCCATCGTGTTTGATCCCTGGTCATCAAGTTTATTCGCATATATCCATTTGCGTTTTCTGGCTTCAGCAACGACGTCTTTCAGCTGTGTCCTTACTCTTATAGCTGTATTCGATACCTTGTCGCTGAGTCGAAGACCGAGCATCTGTCGCTCCATTCTTCGCTGAGTTTTCCGCAGACGTTCTTCATGCGCCTTTGTTAATGCCCATGTCTCGCATCCGTACAGTAGTGCAGGCATCACGCAGATATGAAGAAACGTCGTTCTGATCCTGCATCGGCGTCATCTTGCTTCTTAGTAGAGTTCTGACTCTTCTGTGGATGTTCCAAGCCGAGCTGATCCTAGAGCTGATTTCCTGACCGCGTTCCTGAGGAAAACAGATGACTTGGCCCAGGTAGACGAATGATGTTACTTGTGCAATCTCCACCTCGTTTACTCTGAGTTGATGGACCGTTGGAGCTGGTTGACATCCATTTGGTCTTATTTGCGTTCACTTCTAGTCCAGCCTCTTTGGTCGCTCTAGTGAGTTTATTGAGCATTATTTGTAATCCATCAATAGTTGGAGAGCACAGAAAAAGATCATCAGCATATGCGAGGTAATTGAGACGATGTTGACCAATGGGGTACCCTTGATCCTCCCAGTCAATGTCGTCAAGGCAGGAATGGAGTGTTAGAATGAACAGCAATGGAGATAATGAATCACCTTGTCGAACTCCTCGTTGTATGTCGATCATCTTCTCTGTAGCACTGAGAACCAGAAATGATCGGCCAGCAGCATAGAGCTGCTTTATCATCCGAATCTGTAGTCGTCTATATTTAGCTAATGCTCTCCAGATAGCATTGAATTCGATAGTGTCAAAGGCTTTTTGAAAATATACGCCATTGTAGTCGTTTCTTCAATTCACGGCATTTTTCCATCAACAGATTGACGGGCATAATGTGGTCATGGGTGGAGAAACAGCGCCTGATCCTGATTCCAGCTTCCTCAATGGGAATACAGCTCATTATTTCTTCTACCACACGATGAGCCGGTGTACGGGTGTGAACATTGAAGAGCGTCGACAATAAATTGCTAAGTGACATTATACAGAGATTGGTCTATAGTTGCCGATGTTGGAAGGGTCACCCTTTTTATAGAGAAGGATGGTTTTAGCCTTAACGAAACTTTCCGGGAACTGGTTGAGTTCGAAAAATTGGTTGAGTTCGGTTGCGAGATCGTTTGCACACATGGGGACCAGATACTTCGTTACACTGGATGGGATTCCGTCAGGGCCGGATGCAGTGTTTCCACGAATGCCACGGCATGCTTTACAGAGTTCGTCTGCAGTAACCGGCCGTCCCAACGGGCCAGTCACAGAGTATCAAAAGGTTTAATCCCCCAAAAGGTCCTTGGGAGGAGCGGTAGAGCTCGTTGTAGAACGCAGCCGCGGTATCAATGGCTTCTAGTGGTGTTGTCGTCAAAGAACCATCTGCACGATGAAGTTGTGATATTTGTTTATGCACATAGGCCAACTCGTATCTAGCATGCCTTATCCTTAGTTTTTCGATTGCACTTTCCATAAGTCGGTCGTTGTGCTTCCGCAAATCATCTGTGAGTGACCATCGGACTTGTTTACATAGCAACGTGTATAGCAGGGGATTCGTGGAGCCAGTTGCCAATCCAAATTTCTGCTTTCTTCGCTCTGCCATCAGTGCCCTTGTGCGAGCAGAGACTCGTTCCACTCGCTGCTGACAAGTTTGAGCCAAGATCATGCAATTTTTAGCCACCTGTAAGAAGCTTGAAATCCGGAAACCAGTTGTTGGACGGGGCTGCATTGCCATTGCAGCTTGTAGTTTCAACTTGTCGAAGCGCTGTGGCAAGGGCCTTGCTTTTTGGTGGAAATGAGCAGGCTTCATTGACATCGCCAAAGTTACTCGTACCATCGGTGATCGCTACCGACATTGCATCCAGAAAGCGTTGTCACATCGCGGACAAACTTCAAGTTGGGGCATAGTACGTGGTCTATCTCAGTACGGGTGGTTCCGTTTGGGCTTCTCCATGTCCATTTTCTTCCGAACCTTTTCTTGAAGAAGGTGTTGGCGACTAAAAGGCCATTTGCGGAGCAGAATGACAGCAGTGTCGTGCCTCTATCGTTTCTTCTACCAGTAGCATGAGGTCCGCATCCAGGCTCATGGTTGAGAGAGCGTCCTATGACTGCATTGAAGTCGCCGAAGATTATTTCGGGTACAGCTGGACTTCTAAACGGATGTCGTGCTGCTTCTACCTCGTCAAGGAATCGCTCATACTCATCATCTGCTGCGGCAGAAGTCGGCGCATGAACTTGAATAATCCTGAGACGTCTCTTTCTTATAAGGAACTCGGCTTGTATTACACGATCGCTGATGTAACGGATACCGACGAGCTTTTTGTTCATCCATGTGGACATATAAAATCCCACTCCAGCGTATGTGGGGGTATCGTCGCAACGTCCACTATTGTATAATACAAAGCCTGATCCAAGTTGAAGACACTCACGGTTAGGGCGTCGGGTTTCGGATAATCCAATCAGAGTGAACTTCACTTTCCTGACGTTGGCTTCAAAATCCGCGAGTCGTTGTTGAGAACAAAGGCCGCGGACGTTGACTGCGGCTATCTTCAGGAAGGTCCGAGCACGGGAGTCGCTACTTCCAGCTTGGTTTGACGGCGAAGTCATCGGTGGAAGGAAACCAACCGTCCGAGGGGGAAGCAGACGAATGGAATGAGACAACTTGTTTAGGCGTCGTAAAATCGTGGCTGCAACTGCACCGTACTACTCCCAATGTGCCGCGTGTGTAACTGCACCAGAATTATGTAAATGTGATGTATAGTGTACTGCAGTTATACGGTGCGGTTGCAAACTCAGCATTTCACGACGCCTAATCCAGCCGTCTGCTCCCTCTTGCTTCGCCATACTCCACTAGCAGCCTGCTACCTCCCTGCTTGCTATGCTCTCCACTACTGGATGTTGCTAGGCGCTGGCGGACGCCGGTGTTTGCTAGATCGATTCTACACTTTCTTAGTCGCTGGCGCTGACGGACAGTCAAAGCAGGTGATCGCTGATGGACGCTGCCGCAAAGAGTGAACGCAGCCTTGGAAGAACGGCGATGTCCAGAGCCCGCGCAGCGCAGCTTGCAAAGCAGGTATAGTGGCCCAGCCGCATGAACCCGCCGAACAACGTTAGCACCGCAGTTATATTTGCTTTTGCATTCAATACACAGTTTCAGTTGAATGCGGGCAGACTCCTAGTATGTCTAGCAAATCGCCCAAACGCCAATTAGGAACCGCTTTTACTGTTTTTCTTTCTTTTCCATTTTTTAATTAGCGTTACTAGTTCCCGCTAATAGTTCGGTGGTCTTTATTTTTCACTATTAAATTGCCTTTCCCCATTTATCATCGCGTTACTTCTGCAGACGTCCTTTAATTTCCTTGATCGAGCTCATTATCTAAGTGGTGGTGTTGTGACTGTTTGTTGTCCTGCTGTTTCCTGATCAATGGCACTGATTTTATTGATATCGCGGTGATAAGAAATCAGTGCGATGTTTGATAATCATCCATGATATTATGAATGCTCCATATTTGTTGTGAGCTTGATTGATTTCTCCGAAATCTTCATGATAAGCAGTGAGCAGTATATAGCGTTTTCTTCTCTATGGCATGGTTCTGGGTTCAATGCACGCTCATTGTCAGATTGTCTGTCGCGCCTTATTTTTCATTCGTTCTCGTCGCTGAACTTTAAAATTTCTTTAACTGGGGTGTTTTGGTTTTGGAGTGTTGGAATGGTTTTCGAACGAGATCATTAGTCGAATGCAACTTAAAATAAAAATTCGACAATGACCCTAAAAGCCAAATAGACATGCGACACGTTTTCATCGAATCATTGGTCAAGAATGGAATGGTTTTCGAAACTAACAATCAGTATTCTTTTGATAGACGGTCTATTTGAAAAACTGAAATATTGAGTATTTGGGAAGGAAGACGTCTGTGTCTCTCAAGCTCCAAAAGCGTTCGTAGATCAACCGTTTGCGCTAGAAAGCATTCTTAAAGTTGTGTTCATACTTGGCGTCAGCCTACGGCAGCGCTTCGAGCCTACGCCAGTGCCAGCGACTAGAAAAGTGTAGGTACCGATCCGGCGTTTCGAGCTTCCACCACCGCCTGCCAGCGTACAGCAGCGTTTTCGCTGACAGTTTTGATAAATTACCGAAAGCGCTGGCATACGCCAGATCGATACCTATACTTTCCAAGTACTGGCGCTAGCGTACGCTCGAAACGCCGCCGTATGCTGACGTTCGGTCACGCTGAGTGGAAACGCGGCCTTGAGTGTTGGTGAAAAAACGTCAAAGCTGAGAAACTCGGTACTTCCATCATAAGTGAACTCATGAGGACATCCGGTCTGAAGGTGTTGAGGTTGCCTCATTGTTCTTCTTGGTTTGAGGTGACAGTGGAGCGAGCTTCTAACGGTAAGTTCTAGTTTCCGAGATTTCTTCGATATTATACGATTTTTTTCCTACCTTCTGCTGCTCGCACGTTCATGGATGCTGCTCAGTTGGTTTGAATTGCAATTTATTCTGAAGCTGAACGTTCAATTAATTCGTCGAGTTTTTGTGATGAATTAGCAATGCCTGGGAATGGCATCCACAAGAGGTGCATATAACGAAGCAGCCGCTCTGCCGGGGATCGAATTATCGCACCTTTGCCGAGTCATAAGTGATGTTTTGTATGGTATTAATGAGAAACTATGTGGGCGTAACTTAGGATACTGAGCCTCGTCATCGCTCGCGGACCAGCTGGTATTCCTAGCTAGTTGACGCAATGCTTTGAGGTCGATTCAGTGGGTCGGGGCAGCCTATGCCAGACGTTCTGTTACGTTCTAAGCATCTGCCTTAATAAATGCACTTCAGCACGGAGGAGAACAATTCAATTTTTAACAATTTCAATTTTGTCGGATTATTTAGAACAAAGCCATGAAATGCGTGGGCTGTCGTGATCCAAACAAATTGATGTTAAAGGAATGTGTCGAGTCAACTAGCTAGGAGGATTGGTCTAAGCGTGATGCTCCGCCTCGGATGCCATATACCGCTAACGAGGCGGGTAATTTAGTTAATTGAGCAGAGTAGCTGCAGTCAGTGCTCTTGTTTGTTGTTTACTTGTTCTGCAAGTTGGAAAAAGTGCACCAGTGACGGAAATCGTTAAAATGTAATCATGTCATTTTCAAAAATCTAGGGTTTGCAAGGGTAAGTTTGGCAAAGCAACAGCAACGTATGTGAATTCTGACTCTCTTGAACAGGCTTTTTCACATTTGTATCTCCTTGTGATTCTTTGAGAGCTAAAAAATCCAGAGAACAGATGGTGCCCTCTGCAAAAGATCTAGTCATGGCCATGTACATATATATCGTTGCGATAGCAGAAAGAAAGAAAAATTTCTGAGTTTTTGGGGTAGGAATAGTTCAATAGTGCCGAAAGAATTGCCGTCAATAATCGTATTACTCTCAGGGACAGCCTCGAAACCTCGCGCTCAATTATTATATGCTTCAGCTGCGGTAGACAGTGGTTTGATTTCCAATCTGATTAACTATGTAAGTGGAAGTGTCCTTCATGAGTGCTTGGGCGCTAGTCCAATATAGGTAGGTGTTTTGATGCAATGGTTTGTAGGGTTGGAGTTTGAACATGGTCTGTTGTAAACATGCTTTCAACTGCATCAATCGCGTAGAGCGCGTGACCGAAGCGCTGTCGTCGCGAAGTCTAAACGCTGCCCATGAGACTATGGCGCGCACGACCCTCGTCGTCTTATTCTCCTGGGCCTAGGGTGGTGGAAAGGATGTGGACGCGTAGCTCCTGGCCCCGCTTCTGGACTCAGAGTACCAGCCTCATACTTCTAAATTGTCCCCCGCAGTGTTGAAAGCAGCCGGGCGCGACTCTGACCGTTTGCTCTCCAGGGCATGTTCTGGACTCTGCGATGATGTTCGACGCGCTATAGCTGCAACAGCGCTAAAAAGCCATAATGCGAACACAGTCGCAAACAGGAATCGATTGGCTTGTGTTTCGAAAGGGTATGGAAGGTTAGTAGGATGTAACATTGTGTGAAGGCAGCGCGCACGTCCTTTTATCTCATGCTTTTTTTGAAGCACAGTTGATCGGCGCTGACTGCTTCTCGTCTGCGGCAGTCTTCGTGGCTGTAGCTCTAGAGCGTTGTTCAACTGCAGCTCGTCGACGCGCGTTACAGCGCGTCATCGCGAAGTCTGAACACTGCCTAAGCGGAAGTATTGGTAAAGAGAAGGGACGGAAAGGAGCTGCCGAGTAGCCCCGCTCATCGTATCAGTACCGGTTCACCGCTCTGTGCTACTAGTTAAGGGGTCTCAGGATACCTGTCAATCGCGAAGCCTCCTTTCTCCTTACTTTTCCCTCCCTTCCTCCTTCCTTTTTTTCTTTCCTTCTTTCTCCAATCCCTCCCTTATTTCCCTTTGTATGAATGTGCGATCAGAAGGTTCGATGAGAAAACACCGCTGGATCCTCCCAGCGAGAAAGCAGATGCCTTGTAATCAGTTAATGGGTGTTACAGGGAGTCCCTTTTCAGCTCAGACTCAGCACTGCTAGAGCGTGCGATCCTGCTTCGCTGAACTGAAGTACACCCGCCAACCTATATTGGACTAGCGCTAGTGCTTGGCGCGCTCTTCGGTTTTTTAGCTTGACAGAGTTTGGCGATTGAAGGTTATGGCCATACGTTGCGAATTCCTTGTAAAACGAGTTTGGTGTCGAACTGAGGTGAAGATGGAACATAGTCTCAGAGTGATCATGATGAGAAGGTTTCCAAAAAAAGTAAGGCAATACAAAGCGTATTTTCTCAAAGAAATTCCCAGTACATTCGCAAATACACGGTACTCCGAAAATTCCAGTAGATAGTGAGAACAGGCGCTAAGGAGTTTTTCAGTTCAGTCGATCTTTCGTGTAAGATGTGTTTTTATTGCGATGACGAGTTTTGAGGACACCTTGCCGCATGGGTATACACACAGTGCGAAATTTGATAACAAGGTATGTTTTCTGCTTGGAAGTCGTTCGTCTAAGCCGTATAAATGTTATCGCTGAGCAAAGATAATGAAAGGACAAAGAGCATATTTTACCAGAACATTCCGTATCTTTTGATATTTTTCTTTTTTATTCATTTTTTTGGTTGATTTCTGTTAATTTATTGATTGTTGACTTTCGAATTTCATTTTCCTTGTAGTCGATCTTTAAATTCGGCGTGGAGGTCGACTGTAATCACTGAAACTTTGGGGAATTTGAGGTATGGATAGCATCTCGAGCGGTGTGTGTCGGTTGCCATCCATCCACACCACCTTCAAGTCCCGCGAGACCTGCTACTCCAAGTGGCCTTGTTCATACTAGGCGGCTCGAGCGATTCGCTCGCACGACCGAGTCGTTCGATTCGCGAAGGATAATGCATATTGATCTTGCAGCTCGGAAAGCCCGCGAGCGCGACCATTGGTGATCTTGATGAAGAAGAATGGTAGCAAACGAGTATGGGTCTGCGGCGCCCTAGTTCTAGGTCTAGCAAGCTATGAAGCCGCCTAAAAATAAAGTGTGTTTGGCTTCTCCATCATTCAGGCAATTCAGGCAATGGGAGTCGGGCTCAAGACTTGCCCACATTCTAGTGAAGTCTATATCAAAGCATTTGACGAGCCTCACTGATGCCCATCCAACTTTTGTCGTTGGAGTTCATTTTGGTCAGGCTGCGCGGCGTGTGAGTTAGCATACAGGCCTCGCGTTTACGCGCTACAGTTGCAGCAACGCTCCAATGTTATTGACGCGAACGCGGCACAGACGGGAATTGATCGGTGCCGGCTGCTTGTGCCTGGAGAAAGTGTGGAAGAATGGGATTCGCATTGTCTAATCACTCTGGAATCGATTGGCACTGGCCTGTAGTGGTTGGAATAGAATAGAATAGAAGAATAGAAGAGCATAGATGAAGCGCTGCCTAAGCTGCACGCGACCTGATGCGATGAAATGTTCAATCTGGCTTCAGAATGCACGCCGTCCCTACATTATCGCAGCGGCCGCTACTGGGTACTCTCTGAGACACCACCACACTGCTCCACTCATTTCACTCGATGCGCTGAATCATGTCAGTTATGGACGAGTTGCTTCAGCTATCTACTCTTTTGGGGCAAGAAGAACAGTATTAGCGCACGAGGATCTTGAAATGTTCAGTAAGAGAGACTGCCTTCTCATTGAAATGGGAGGAGACTTTCAATAACTCGGCTATGAAGTGAGGGGGAGGATCATGGGAGAAAAGAATTATTACGTTATCTAGACGACATAATTACGCGCAATGGAGGTCCTTTTCCTTTTGAAACAAGACATCGGAATGGTTTTTGATGACGACAAGTCGGTCAAATCGTGACACCCAAATTGCGCAGCACCGTGACAATGCTGTCCTGGCGAAGTCTGATCAAATCGATCATCGTTGCCCAGGAAAAACGATCCGGCGTTGGGATACCGTACACTTGCTGACGGTTTTTTTTTCTAGATGAATAGACTTCTGTCGCGGCGTCCCTGCTTCACTTGTTCAATGTCTAGTTGTTGTATAATAGTAGGGCGTGAGCGGCGTCGTAACGCTCCGTTCTGGCATGCTCGTATCGTTCAACGGTTGTGCCGATGACTTCTCATCATGGAATTCAAAGACGCATTTTGCGGTTGCGAATCATGGAAGGTGAAGAAGAAATAGAATATTGATTATTGGGCCTACCTGTGGAGAAGGAAGACCTGTCTGTCGAAAGTGTACCGAACGAGATCTCTTGAGTGTGAGCACTGAGCGAGTATGTAATGTCGTGCAGAGACGCAGAGGCGCCCGAAGAAGGACAGACAAACGTGGGATGACGGGGCTCACAACCGCACAACCAATGGAATGGGCATCCATATATGGTGAGTGGAGTCAGACTGAGGAAGGCAGCAAGGAGCCTTGATATGTGTGGTCGCTCTCTGCCTATCGTAAATGAGAAAGGGGTTCCACCTACCAAGTGATCACGGAATAAGTTCCTGGTTTACCAGAGGACTAAAATGATAAAGGGTAAAGACTTCGCCGTTAATCAATCCCTTTGTGGGATGCGGCACGCATTCTACTTCCATTCAGAATCGTAGTGGCTTATTGAATGCGATGTGGCCTATACAATGACTTGCGGTGGCCAGCCGATGTACAAGTCAGTGTTTTATCCTCCCAGACGAATCTGGTACCAATTTACCGTCCCCGGAGGGTAGAAGGCTTGGTTGGCCTGGGCGGGAGTCGACCCGGGATTCGAACCCGGGACCGCGCGAGTGGTAAGCGCGCCACTTGTCACTACACCTACCTCCGCCTCAACAAAAGAATTACCATCAGTTACTCATCACCTGAGGCGGAGGTGGTGCAGCGGCAAGTAATCCGCTTACTACGCGCGTGATCCGCGGGGTCAAATCCTGGATTGGCTACCGTCCAGGCCAACCAAACTTCTCCCTTCCAGAGACGGTAAATTGGTACCAGATTCGTCTGGGAGGATAAGAACACTGACTTGTACATCGGCTGGCCCCCGCAAGTCATTGTATAGGCCACATCGCATTCAATAAGCCACTACGATTCTGAATGGAAGTAGAATGCGTGCCGCATCCTAAAAAGGATTGATTAACGACGAAAACTTCATTTTTTGTCCCCAGTTCATTGCCATAAGTCTACATCATCGTTTGCGTCTTGCCTGACGTTCCCATCCAGTGTGCCTACTTACCATCAGAAACGCACTTCGAAGTCGAGTTTGCTTCCACTTACCAGAGAAGAACCAACAAAGCGAAGTCAAGTGGTCGAAGTAGAAAGATAAAGCCACAAAGAGATAGATGTAATCTGCCAGTTTCGAAGAAAACATGTTTCGGCGAGGTCCACTATCAAATCCACGTGGGTTTGATTTTCAAAGAAACGCTTTTTCTGTACCTCTCTTGATATGCGGCAGAAGGATGCACTCGTGTTATCAGAACTGTGTTCGTCTGTGAGCTTCACTATACATTTCACTTTCCCATTTTGAGCCTCTTGACTTTCGTTGTGTTACTGTTTTCTGTTAGCTAGAAACACGTCCATCCCAAGACTCTGGGGAGGAGGGGGTGTCTGGAAGTGGATAGCTGGATTTGGCTCGGCGCCAGCTCGTTTTACACCAACTGCTGTTGCTTGCCCGCATCAACGAGTGGTGGAGAGTAGGCTTTTGCCGCACCAAACCTAGTCGCCTTTATACGCACCAGCATCCGTAGCACTCTAGTTCACCAAAGTACACTCTAGTTCGCTGCGGACGGTTGGGCGTGTCAGGCAGCGCGAGTGTGTCACTCCGTAAAAGCCGTAGTAATAGTAAGGTCAGGTGATAGGTAGGAATAGTAGTATTCGACGCCATGCTTGACCCCAGTCGGTGAAATCCTGCCTTCTTTCGTGTCGGGCCCGATCGCTCTTATTGTCTGAACGAAGCCATTCTCCGAAACAGTCCCGCTTGCGTGGTAGTCAAACTCAGCAAATGAACCTGGAGGTCTCTTCTCCTTCGCCGAAGTGGTGGTACATCAGCGCAACGCTTCTGGCCTGGGACTTTCACAAAAAAAATCACAAATGCGGGTCATGTTGATGACGGACCCTTCAGCAATGTGTTCTGCGTCATAATCAGATACGCCAAAGTTAACGTAATCTATTTCGCTTCGAACAAAGGGGCGTTCCAGTGCGGCTGTGTTTGGCTCGAGGCCAAACCCGTTCTCCACCAGTTGTTAAAGTGACAAGATTGTATTAAATCGTTCGTATCACTCGTTTGTACCAGTTGTCGCATAACCGCTTCAACCGTGGCACAGTCATACTGCCCGACGCGCCCCTTCATTCACAGCGAACTAAAGAATAGTCGCTGATAGTAGCCAGAAAGGCTGTCCCAAGACAGTAGATAAGATATGATCGGCCTCAGATAATAGCGCTTTTATACTCTGATGTAGAATCGTGGTTTTTTCTTCTATATATTATCAATTTCAACCTGAAACAACGTTGAAACTCCTAGTTCATAACTATGGCAAAACCTGCTTATGGTGTAGCTTTTCGGCGCCAACTTGGTTGAAGGGAGCCACGTGACGACTCGGGGCTAATGCCGTTTGGACTCCAGCAATTTCGGCACCGAGCTCATTTTTAAATTGCCTAAGTCACCAAACCCGCTGAAAACATGTACACAAGGGTTATTTACCATCGTGATTACAATTATGACACTCATTCTTGGCGCTGGCGCCAAGGGATGACACTACGATTACCTCTTGGGCTCAGCCTTAGCGGAGCGCAGGTAATCGTAGTGTCATCCCTTGGCGCCAGCGCCAAGAATGAGTGTCATAATTGTAATCACGATGGTAAATAACCCTTGTGTACATGTTTTCAGCGGGTTTGGTGACTTAGGCAATTTAAAAATGAGCTCGGTGCCGAAATTGCTGGAGTCCAAACGGCATTAGCCACGACTCGGTCGTCCGCTTTCATTATTCTGAGCCCAAGGAAGGAAAGTACCATCACCTTAATGAGAGAAAGAGCGCCGACGGCCAGAGTTGCCTACTGTCAAAAAAAGGGTCCCTTCAACCACATTAGCCTTCGATCCCCTGTTTTTCAGAACGACATTATGTTAGGAGTAATATTTTATGAGCTGGAGTTTCAGATACAGTATTTCACATGTGAACCACTAGCAGAGTCATCATCGTCGTTCTACCAATGTCGTTGTTTTCCGTAATTCTTTCTCCCATCACTGGGACTCTTTTCTTTCTCTGGACAAATGTGAGTTGACAGTGATCTTTCAGCACGCGAAGCCCTCAGTATTACTTTCTGACGCCTAGGTCCTCATCATTTTGTGCACGTTGGTGTGCTCTGGTGTTCTGGCGTTCATGATTTCCTATTACTTGTATGGTTATTCGTCCTCTCCGCAGAGTCGTTCCAGTTCTTCGGATGGTTCTCCGACAAGTGAGTTTACGGTAGCCCTTCAACTTTCTTATGATACTGCGAAGCCTGGTTATTTAGGAATCAGTAAAAAGAGAACGTCGACCATTCACGAGAGTGATGAAGATGCACCAGGATGTGTAAAGTCTGCAAAACCTGACATCATCGAACTTCGTCGAATGCGTAAGAGAGATTGGGCAAAGAAACTTTACAAGAGTCTTCTGGTAGGTTTCTGCTACTTTTTCGTTTAGTTGGCAGTAAAAGGGAGAGCGTAGCTACTCAAGACATGACTCTAATCTTGAATGCCAACGGTACACTCACCTCATAGGGCACTACTTGCCATGAGCGAGGTGGACGGGTTGGCAGCTGTACAGGTATATCAGCACTTGACAGCGCGCGGAAATGAGTCTGAAGGGTGGTGATATCCTGGTGCTGTTCCTGACTCCGTGCTGTCCTTAAGGCGGAGCATTTGCGTCGATACCAAAATTTCGTAGCGTGCCCGAAGTCAGTGGTAGAGAAAGCCAGACGTGAGAGGACGCAGACAAGTAGCGCGTTTGGCTATGATCAGGCCGTGTGGCAGCACGGGCCGCACACACGCCTGTAAAGGACAGATAAAGTCATAAGAAAGGAGCGAGAGAAATTGCTGTTCTGTAGCACCAAGTGGACGTCGCGACCGCACGCAGTTTTTTGGCCAACTCAGTTACAACCTTGCGGGCAACATATATTGTAATTTGTAGCGCTGATCCTCTATTGGTTCCCAGGTCTCCGATCCTTTATGTTTCAGAAGAATGACTCGCCTGGCCGTCTCTCATCTGATGACTCTGATTCAAGTCACGAAAGAAATTTGCGTCCCCGTCACCTTAGACGACGTCATTCTACCTCCGGACCTCTGCAAATGGCAAGAGAGTGAGTTGGAGTTGCTTTCGTTATAAACGTCTCCGAGGGTGCAACAATGTCGCTACTAAACTTGCTTGCAATTGCCCACACCATTAAGTTCATAGGTGCTGTTTTTTGAGCTGTGCAAATTTAGAACTTTTTGATCACAAAAGTAAACTGCATTGGTCCATCATAATAGAGGAACGCAGAGTAGGAAAGCAGTTGTTGCGTTCGAACTCATCACCTTGGGAGCCGAGCGCTTTTTTTCGTGCTCGTCACAAAGGTGTATCCACTTTTTGTGCGCTGCACAGGTGCGGTGCACCGCAGCAAAATGTCAAAGCGATAACTCATTGCAGCAGCTGTCAAGAGTTTGCTTGTCCCGGTGCCCTCCAAATCGGGCACAGATTGATTTGGCTGGGCTGGAAGAAGTTTGGAAACATCTGGAAAGCTACCAAGTGCCCTTCCAGAACGGCCTTTCATTCACTGTTCGAGGGACATGACACAAAGTCGGCCTTAAAGACAGCTCCCGCGATAAAAGTGTCATGGATAGTTGCTTTTCAATTATGAAACAGTAGCTGATAAGTAATCCCCAAAGAAGAAAAAAAGCAAGAAGAGTCCTCAAGAACACCATAAACAAAATCGCTCCCTGACAGTCACACCTCCCTGCGGTCTCTGTGCAACCCCTGGCTCACAAATCCTCTATCACCACCGTAGTGGATATCATCCAATGCAAAAAAGAATACGAAAAATAAGAAAAACACGAAAAAT